TCTATCAAACATACATATTGAAAATGAATTGGGTACAACTTTGTTGTAAGATGAAATAATAGTAACAATTTTCGCTAGTAAAAAAGCAAAAAAAAGAATATATTATTAATATTAATTTTAAAGAATCTGTGTTATTTAATCCAGATTAGATCCAAATTTTCCTAAAGATATACATGTAAATTAACAGTATTTGAAATACAAACACAGCCATTATCTTGTATAATTTTATATGCTTTTATTTTTAAAATATGTATGTTTATAGGAGCGCCCAATTGCTACTATGCTCCAGGTGTCATAAAAGCTCTCAGTGGCCCTGATCATGCATGTGCATTTTACCACTAACTAATCATTTATAGACATTGTTTAGAAGTATTGTATTTTAAAAGTGCTATTTTAAGATAAATTATTTCTAACCTGCTTTCATAAAATTTTTATTAAAATATACTACAAAATTTAAAATTTATTTTATAAAGGCGTAAAAGTATTCTTTTCACCCAACTTCAAAATGTCTAGCGCTGGGCCTGGTTGCAATATTAAGTTTTTTAACTTGCTGGTAATAATGAGAAGCCATTCTTCAATTTATTTTGGATTTGCATTACAGTGCATTTGGTTTTAACTTGAGTAAGGTTTATTAGTCAAAAGATAATGATTTTTTTTTTTTTTTTTTTTTTTTTTTTTTCAACAAAATTTTTAAGATTTTTTTTTTTTACTGAAAGTTATTTAAAAAAAAGTAAAATGGTTTCTATAGAAAAATGCATGGCAATATATTCAAATAATTGTTTAAAAATTGTTTACAAGTATAATACAAGTTTTAAGTAATTAAATCAATTGGTTGACAAAAAACATCACTATACTTAAAGAAAACTTTAAAAGTGTATAGACCACAAAACATAAGTTTCGTGAGTTAAACAGTTGCCACTTTCCTGAATTTGTGCCACCCTAAAAATAATTTTATATTTCTATAAGTTTGAAAGTGTTAAGTTATCAAAACATTAATTAACATCATAACTTAACTAGTAACTATATATTTAAATAAAGATTTACAGTATTATATATTTATGTGTGTGTATATATATATATATATATATATATATATATATATATATATATATATATATATATATATATATATATATATATATATATATATATATATACACATATATATATATATATATATACACATATATATATACACATATATATATATATATATATATATATATATATATATATATATATATATATATATATATATATATATATATATATATATATATATATATATAAATGATAAATGATAAAAAACATCATGTTCAGTTATATATTATTTTTATTATTTAATAGTGATATTTGGGCTTACATTGTATAACCCATTATCAAACTAAAAAAAAACGTTATACAAAATTCATAAAAATTAAAAAAAAATGATATCATTGCAACATAGCAGATTTAGATTTGTTAAGTTTTACAAAAAGTGGTTTTTAATGGCTTGTCATCACTAAGTTACCATTCAGGCCTTGTTTTAAAGCGTTACGCCTAGAGCGATTTACGTACGCCTTAAGCGCTTTTTACGTACACGTAGAGCTGTTTTGGTTAAGCTACTTTTTATCATTTTTTAACTTTTAAATAAGCGGTAACATAAAAGAAGTAATTAATTTTCAAAAAAAACCACATTAACTTTTAAATAACGATATGTAAAGGTATTTATTAAAAAAAAGAATTTACTTTAAAATTAATTGTTGTAACTTTTCATCGCGATATATCTTTCCTTTTTATAGCAATTAATTTGACGCTAAACTTTTTATCCAAATATTATGCAACATGAAAAATTGTTTGTCAATCCTTAACTACAAATTTTTTGGAATGTTTTTAATAAAAAGTAGTAAAGTTTTTAGTAAAAAACTTTTAAAAAATCTATATTCTATATTTATTAATACAGAATATAAAAGTTTTTTGTAATATAGATTTTTTATGGATTTTTTACTGAATTTATAATAAAAAACATTTGCAAAAAAATTTGTAATTAAGAATTGACATTTTTTTAAATAAAATCTCAAAAAATGTCTTAATATTTTTGTTATCATGATAACAAAAATATCAAGACATTTTTTCGAGATGTTAAAAAAAATGTCTTTGCTTTTCTTATTAGTTTAATAGTATATAGCTTATAGTTAGTTTAATAGTATATAGCTTTTCTTATTAGTTTATTAGTATATAGTTTAAGTTATGCAGGGGGAGGGGGTCGGCACAGAAAAAAAAATTACCTGTTACTCGCAATATTTGAATGAAGACAATTTGTTAAAATTCTTCTGCGTGCGATTCAATAAGTTTTTTTTGTCATAAATCAAGTTATAATATAAGGTAAAGAAATCATGAGTAGACTACAACATCCGCTGATGACACTAATATTACGTTGAATATATTTATATAACGGAGGTTTTATTATGCACGCGCACATTACAGGTTACGTTAAATAAATACTA